AGGTGTGTTGGTTCCTGTGATAATGTTTGTTGTACAGGGTTGTATTATATGTATATTCATGTACAGGATCTAAAGGATATTAGAAAAAACATTATTCATTAATTTGTTGTATCAATTTATTTGCTAGCCAGATGTTGTCAGATTGTGTGATTCAATTAACCATCGTTAAAGACTCAATTATTACATGTGTTTTCCAAGGAATTACAAAGTACATAGCTTTTAATATTATGTAAATATATTAATTTAAAAGTAACTAAACTCAAAGAATAATTTTGTATATACTTTTGAAGCGATTAGAATCAATTGTTAATTTTATATGTATCTAAACTGCTTGCCAGATGTTGTCAGTTTGTCTGATTTAATTAAGTATCGTTAAAGACTCAATTATTACAAGTGTTTTCCAAAGAATTACAAAGTTTTTGATATTACGTTTTCATTAAATGTAACAATTTTAAAAGTAACTAAACTCAAAGAATGATTTTGTAGACCTTTATACACTTGAAGCAATTAGAATCAATTGTTAATTTTATATGTATAATGATGCGAGCATAATTATAGACTAAGCTACCCCTGCTGAGTTAATGTTCATATATCATCTAAATGGTTATTTTGAGGACAAATTATAGAATTATTAGACATTCATTTTGGAGTTATTATTAAACCCCCACCCATCATTTCATGGCAGCAATCCTATATTCAACTGGTTAACCTAACATTTATTTTCTTTAAACTATTTCACTTAGAATAATGGTCTCAATGGAAATAAGGATGGAGGTCACGAGACAAGAGAATGATGGTGGGTCTGGACAGCTGGCAGGACCACTTTTCCTTTCACTAGGTAATGTGTAGATGAATTCAATGAACACACAACAACATGTTTATAGTACAGGATGACAATTTGGTGAGAAAGCCCCTACAAAATATATATTCAAGGCAAAGCAATCAAGTAATAACATGAAATTCAATAACAGTACAATCGTTAACTATAAACAGTACACAGTGTTGCTCCTCATACAATAAATAGCGTTTTTACACAAAATATATTCTCAAACCAAAATAATCAAGTAAAAAGATTTTTTAAGTTCAATAACACCCAGTAAAATATCATAAACTATAAACAGCACACGGTAATAATCCCAATACCTCACTCAAAATATATATTCAAGGCAAAGCAATCAAGTAATAAGATTTGTGAAGTACAATAACTGTCATTAACTATGAACAGTACACTGTGTTACTCCTCCTCATCCAGTGAATAGCGTGTGTACATAAAATATACATTACAACCAAAACAGGTGAAACGTAAAATATCCTGTACACATGATGGGGTACTATGGTACAATTGAGAGTTGCTCCTGATCCTGCTCCAGTGAATAGCGTTTTTACACTAATAAATTTAAAGCTGCTCCTCATGCTATGAATTTACACATGAATGAACACACACAGCATTTTTACGTAGAAATATATATTCAATCCAAAACAGGTGAAACGTAAAATATCGTGTACACATGATGGGGTGCTATGGTACAATTGGGGTTGCTCGTCCTCCTGCTCCAGTGAATAGCGTTTTTACACTACTGCTGTGGCTTCCAATAGGTTCTTTCAACGGATTTGTATTCATAATTATTTAGTTCAATGGATTTGTAATAATGTGTTTAGATAAATGGATTCAACTATCGGTATAGCCTAAGTTTAGATATTGATCTATTTGGGAAATAATAAAATCCATTAGGATTTTTAATAAAAGTTGTCCAGTTATAAGAATATTTAATACAAGTTGGTAGCGAAAATGTATTTGTTTTATTTATAGGATTTTAGTAAGTTATTCAATTGTTTTTTATTTTTAAGATTTGCATTGTGCATTGTACATTATGGGGATGAGAAAACAACTAGGTGTCTGCTTATATTTTGAACTAGATGCTCCAACAATAAAATTTTAATGTAACGGTAATCCATGTTTTTCTAAATTTTGTTACTTTTTTGTAGAGCTCCAAACATGAGTGTCTAAACTTTTTTTTAACAGTAGAGGTACCTTTACTTAGGTACATAAAACGTAACATTATATTTCTTATTGGTTAGACTTTTGCCAAACAAACCATGCTAGTAAAAGTTTGAAACCGTTCTTGACAGATTGTAACTGGATCTTGCTGTCCTTCGCACATTAAACATCGAGAACAACAAGATACTGTCTCAATAATGTGGTCTTGGCCACTCAAAACCTTTCGTGTCGTTCATACACTCATCCTTCACACTCGTCCTTCATACTCTCGCTCTTCAAACACCCATCCTTTATACATCGTATGGTTTATTACCGTTGTTCAGTTATTCTACTTAGCAAAACTACACATTCAAGGAAAGTTTTTTTGGAAGGACAATGGTATTTTGTATTTTTTTAAACCAATTTTCGCTAGACGATCTTAGGAACGTTTCTGTTGGAGATGGCCCAGTCAAATAGGCCGAAGCTGTTAGGCGTCACTGGACGAGATAGTGTATCGCTAGACACTAGACAGTGGAATCTAGACATATCAGACACTAGACAGGGACGGGTACTGGCTAGGCTTGTCACGGCGAATAAAACCATACAATAGAACAGACACTGACACTGCGTCTAGACCGTCTGTGTGTGTGTGAGTGTCAGTGTGTGTGGCCAAAGCTATTATGCTACTGAGTGTCTCGGTGTTAAATCACACACGCACCTCCGACAACGAAGATTTACTTTCGAAGATTTTAAAAATAAAAATAAACTAAAAATACATTAATAATCGTAATAATCACACATTTTGACGATATTGACGATTTTGTATTGCAGTTTGACGAGTTGTCATTCAAACTATATTTGATCCTATTAGATTTCTTGTTATTCGCAAATTGCATAGCATAATCGTCGTCGTCGACTGAAAAATATGTTAGAAAATATTAAAAGAGTAAATTGATTAGTTCAGCAGCTTAATATTCACCAGTCTAGCATACAAACGAAATAGGAGTTTGCATATACTGGATTTCCAAGAATGTACACCAGATAGTAGAACTCAAAAGTTTAAAGGAAAACTGAAGAAAATCCAGACAAGTGCTACACAAAGGAAATTAATTTTACGAGAAGCTAGCAAACAAAGCATTGCATTCTTATCCAACAATTGTCTTTTACTCGCACACTTTTATACGAACCTGCGTTTAAATGTTTCAGAAAAATCCTAATGTATGTAGAACTGAGAATTAAAAATATTAACTTGTGTTGGAAAGGGAATTGTTCGTCTAAAAAGTACACATTACTGTCTGCTTATCGTTTGCGATCCGTTGAAATACACAATATATAGATTATTTGCGAAAGTTGTAAACGAGAGATGGGCCAGGGAGAGGAGATATTCTCAGTTGAGCGAGTTTCAAAGACACGACCCTCCATACCCGGTGTCTATAGGTCCGATATTCATCTAGATGAAAGCTTAGAACTCAAACCCTCCTTGAACCACGGAGGACCCCCTCTGGCGGATAAAGGAGAATAAGAGGACAAAAGATAATGTAAAATAGTTTATATCTAAATAGGTAAATGGGAATGATTAAATTGTGTAGCCTAGTTAGAATTTGGATAGATTACTGTTGCTAATTCTATAGTCTGCAACAGATGTGTATACCTGTTGATTCATTTGCATTGCGAATAATTTTGTGTGAAAGAAAAGATATTACAAATACAAACCACAGTCGCAGCAAACCTGCAGATTAGTAAGATTCTATTTTTCTTTTTTGAGTGTTTAATTAAACTTGTCTAAAATAAAGGGAAATTTACATTTAGATCACAATTAAAATCTTTTGTTTTAACAGGCAAAATTAGAGCGACATGACCCTTTTTTACACTTACAATAAGAACAATATTTGCAAACAGAACAATATTTGCTCAAGAGTTACTTGGGTTTGTTGCTAGCCTACTGTATAAGAAACAAAAGAATATCGTTTTGACTAAATTAAAAAAAAAATTAATAGCCTAACAAAATTCTCCGACATATTATACGTTTAGAAATATTTTCACTTGCTTAATAAAGGAATGACAGAATTTTTACTATTTATGTTCAGTGTAGTCGATTAAACTTTTATCCAGTGCCAAAGAATTTGGATTTAATTAATACATTAAAGAAAAGTCGAGCGTTAATGAGGTCGCCTTTTGTTTAACAATGATGAATTTTGGACGAACCATCAACGTTCAATAGATTGAAATCCCGTCAGACTTGACTTGTTTGAATATGGTAATTAGTAACTCAAGTAAAACCAAAGGTTTAATTCTTTAAAAATGTGGTTTTGTACGGTTTACATACGTAGATGAGGCGATGGTGTTATTGCAAGACGATTGAACAATCCTTCGGTTTTGGGATAGGTTTAGTCATTTTCATATAAAACATTGCTTAAAGAGCATTTGTCAGTAGACCTTATTACTTCCATGCAACCCATCTTTGCCAGATCAAACGTGAAGTTAAATGCTTATGACATGTAATATAACAATATATTGGCGCTGTAAACATGTTATTGGATAGCAAAAGAAACGTCATCACAATACAATCAGATTGTATTGAGTTTATTTTTTTCTGTTGGGTTTAGCCTACTGCAATAAGAAATAAGATACGATAAGTAATAAGAAAAGATGAGAAATGGACGATACAACTTTGTTACAACGTGAAACGGTATTCTTCGAATAATAAGACTTTGGACGCGTGTTCTTGACTTTTCTATATTTTTGTTTTCATACCTTTCTATAATTACTTCCAAACAAAACTTCTCCCTTTGCATATATAGAGATTATCAAGATTAAAAAGATTAATCAACATAAAACTTAAAATGACGTAGAACATGTACTTTTAAAATTAGCACAATAAGTGTAAACATAAATCGTACTCTTTAATTCTATGTCTAAAGAAACGAATAGAACAAAATTTTCCAAAATAACTCTTGTAAAGGTATAAGTAAAAGTTAATAATTTTTAGCATTTTATTACCACAATTTACAAGGAGACTTACCAGACACGTGTCCAAAGGCCTGAGTGAGCGCTGCCATAGAGAACCCTGCGGCCAGCGCGTTGGCGATGACCACCAACCCCTGGGAGCCCGTGGGTGCCACTGCGGCGGACGCCCCACAGACCACGAACACGTAGAAGAAAGACGCCAGACACTCCGAGATGATGGACCTCCAGAACTCCAAGGTTCGCATCTCGGCTTTAGCAGGGAGAAGTCGAGGAGGAGCATCGTCTCTACGCATCGTTGCGATCTTCTCCAGCAGAGTGGCAACGCCGTACTCGACACTCTGTACGTCTTGAACTACCGGAGTCGTCATCACTAGTAAAGCAAGGGAAACACTTTAAACAAACTTAAAAACTTCCTTTACTGTTGCATTTCTGTATCTACCAAACGATGCACGTGCACTGACTACTACGAGCGGGTTGGACGACGCGCTCCGGACGGACTGCCGCGACGGAATGAGAGCCAAGCTGGTGAAGCGCCGAGGGGAGCGCGCCGCGCCGCGCGGTGTTGATGCTAGTTCGGCGATCCTCCACGGCGCAGGACAGCGCCACTGTTTATCACTTTAACTTTACCATCTGGCGCCCATGCTTTGCAGCTGGACGTCTAATTAATTTGGTTGTTCTTATAAGCCACCAGTTGCCACTGTCATGGCCACCAGAGTGTCTCGAGTTTCGTTTCATTTGTTAATTTTTTTAACAAAGCTAAATGATTCTATTCACAGAATACATTAAACACGGAATAGGAATTGGAGATAACTTAAGTTACCATGAATTTATTATTTGAAACCCCCTTGAACTCAAAAAGCCAAAATTTATTAATATAATTAACAGCTGTGTCTAAGGAGTATGTCGACCTTAGTCACTAACAAGACTACAAGATCGTGCCACTCATCCAACACTCATCTCCATTCATACTTGGCATGAAAATACCTACTTTGTTTGGTCACCATTTCATTGAAAAGTATTAATTAAGTATTAAGTTCAACGTACGTTAGTCTGCTTCCACATCGGTTGTTAGTTTATGGGTTCCTCGAAAGCCTATTGGTACCAAGATAAACTTCTAAACGCTGTCTTCTACGCTTTTTATCCGATCTACTCAGCAGTATATATCAGGGCTAGATATATACATATATATATCTAGCCCTGAGTTTATATAGCAGTGCAGATACTCACTTAACTACCTGTTGCTCGCCAGAGGACTGTTTCCGTCAATTCACCACCACAGTATCCAAGGTATAGGTTTATTCCTTAGCTCCAACTTAACCTAACCGAATCCTAAACAGATTTTGAAGATAATTATAAGAATAAAACAAATATACATTTATCAAATTAACAGAAAAGGTTCCGATGTTTCGTCCTTAAATCAACGTACATCCTATTTTGTTACTAATACCGTATTATTTTTGACAGGAATAACCGTAACTTGCCTAAACAATGCCTACATTTCCCAATTCCCTACAGTTTTTGTAAGAGTGTACGCCTCTCGCTATTGTTTCGACTCATCACGCGTCTTCCATAAATCTCTGATCTCTGAAATATTAGTCGTAACACACGGAGGGCAGATGAGCTTATCGTCAATGTGAAATGTCAGCGTGAGAACATGAGTGGATCATGATTGATGTCTTCATCTTCGGAATTGAGAAACTCGTCGTCACGACTCGTGGATTCATGGACTTCATCGTGTTATGGACCTTCCGCGAAATGAGCATTCAACTCATCATTACAAGACCAACATTAACTTTCAATATGTTACTCTGAGGGTTCTAAGGCATTTGATCAGTTTCTCTAGTCTTTCACATCTTGATCTTGCGTCAAAGTGGGTAGCTGTTAAAGTGCTAACAATAAAAAAGTTACCGGATCGATCTTGAGAAAAGTCAGTAGCTTTAGTGGACCCGGCTGTCCCATATCTTTAATAAATGATCCTAACTAATAAAACAGTTGATCTTAGTCAGTATCGAAGCTATAGAGAGCACAAAATGTCATTGTTTTAATTTAACATATTTTTAAAAGTAATTTACAATAGATTGTTTAGTGCAAAAATGAACCACTTTTTTTAGAAAAGCCTAAAAGAATATCTCTTTGTATTTGTTTCTCTTCATAGCAACCAAAATTCAATAAAACTATTTACAGATTGTAATGAAACTTTCAGGCATTATTATTAAGCATTATTCAAGGATGGTCTGTCTGAAGTTTGGTGCAGATCCATCAAAAGGGCTCCGCCCCAGTGGCTCTGGAGTTACCCATGTTAACTTGGTATGAGTAGGTACTCATATTTAAATAGAATTAAAGAATCTTAACAGCTAGTTCAACTAAACAATTTGATTCTGTGATGTTAAATGGCATTAAAAAGTTAATAGGTTTACCAATAGGGTGCAGCACTATTATTTTTTTAACTTTATGACAACAGCTAATTTGCAACCAAAAGGTGAGTGAGCGTAGCGAATGAACTTCAACCTGAAGGCAAGTGAGCGCAGCGAACGAGCTCCAACCTAAAGGTGAGTAAGCGTATAGCAAACGAACTTGAACAAGGACGTGATTGAGCCATGCGAACGAGCTCATCTTGAAAATGAACGAGCATTGACACAAAGCCACATTAGGACAGGACGACGTCTGTCGGGCCAGCTAGTAGGAAATTAATGCTGAATGAACATTGTAGTTAGTAATACTATATAGATGAATTTAATCTTCATGCGTTGTTCACATAAGCGAGGGTGAATACAGTACATTTGATTCGAATCAGATGGTAATTGGTGAGCAGTGAGAGAACGTGTTAAGTGAACACTCCGAAAAATCATCTTCACACCTAACAGACGTTTTAAATTTACAACCCTACACATCTATATCTATAAAAGAGGAACTATGTATGTATATATATATATATGTGTGTGTATATACGTTATGGAAAGACCTTCATCGCATGGGGACATCAATTGACCGAGCAGCAGACAGAAAACACTGGAGGCAACTTGTTGGCGAGGCCAAAAACCAACTTAGGTTTGAATGGCCAAGGAGGTAAGGTAAGGTAATATACGTTATGGACTCCGAAACCGCTAGACAGATTGTAATGAAACTTTCAGGCTTTATTAAGCATCTTTCTAGGATGGTTCGAGTGAAGTTTGGTGCAGATCCGTCAAAAGGGCTCTGCCCCAGAGGGTTTTAAGTGGGCCAATGTCAGACTTTTTGATCTACAATGTTTACAAATAAATATAATTTAAAAGCATATGTTTACTTTCACCAATTGTTTTGTAGGTTAATAATCACAACATTCTGTATTAGCATTAGTCATGATTTGAAATAGTGCTACAGTGTTTCTACAGAGTGCAGCACAGAAAACTATTTTACTTTTGAATAAGTCCAAATTTATAAACCCCAATCGCAGCACACCTGTGCACTCAACAACGTTTAAATTCTTCAATGTTAAATATTAAAAACATTAAAACCTTTATCAAAATATTATAAACAATAAAAGGGATGACTTTTTTAAATTTATGACAACAGCTAATTTGCAACCAAAAGGTGAGTGAGCGTAGCGAACGAACATGAACCTGGAGGCGAGTAAGCGTAGCGAACGAGCTAACCTGAAAACAAGAGAGCGCAGCGAACGATTTCCAACCTGAAGGTGAGTGAGCGTAGCGAATGAACTTCAACCAGGACGTGATTGAGCCATGCGAATACTTATGAAGTTAAGCGGGGCAAGGCCCGCGGGTACAGCTAGTTAACAATAAAACAACAAGTAACGTGCTAAAAAAGATGCTTAGCCTGTGCTAAAACAAAAAAACAAAAAAAAATGAATCGAATACGTAGTTACAGGTTCTCTGTAGCATCGATAAGATTGTGAAAGATTTATAAACTCAATTAAGTGTTTCATAAAGTTCCTATAGGATGTTGTTATAAACAATTAAAACTTCATCACGACGCAAATACTTTCCAAACACCTAACGAGTTTAAACTACAAGTATTCGCTGAGGAAACTCGCCGCGAGACATCATTTTAATTCTGACGCACTTTAAATCATTTCCGCCAACATTTCTTACTTTCAGTTTAGTTTTAAAAACTAGCTTTGGAAAGCATCATTATTTCAATGTTCTATGCTGGCATTAAGTTAAGGCATATGTTAATTGTTAATAATTTGGGTCCAGTTCTATATCTTGCAAAATAAATTATTTAAAATTTATCAATCTTTTCAATTATAAACTCAAACAGTACACGTACAGGGTCACGACAGTTAACATAAACATTTGATCTTTGGCACACCAAATTCGTGCAGTTTTCCAAACTGTAACATTAAAAACTCTCCCAGGAACATATAGAACAACCTCCCTAATTATACTTACGAACGGATAATCGGCTGTGCAATGCACGACATCCACAGACTTATTTCAAGTGGCCCCTTCGAAGTACTACGGGTACTGAAATGTAACAACTTGTTATTTTCTACAGAAATACAGTCTGAATCATGTAGAGGACTTCTTGTTAGACATTTGAACTCATCTGTGCGGACTTAAATTAAACCTACCTTTTACCACACATAATATAACCCCTACTATCTTTGTGTTGACATTTTGAATGTAAACAATCAAAACTGCCAAATGCTTATTTCACAATTTCAGACTGCTGATGTAAAGAAATTATAATGTTTTTACACAACTGGTAGGTTTATAATTCACAACTTCATCATAGATTATTTATTCTAAAACTATGTTAATTATTATAAAAATATATTATGTAACCGTTGCTGTTTGTGATTTAATTTGAAGAAGATTGGCCTTAAATATGTGTTCATGTAGTCGTTCGTGTAGTTTTGAAACTTCAAGATTGAAATTTTAAGTGTTAAAAATAAAGGGAAAAGGGGTTAAGAATAAGGGAGTTGGAAAATCATGTATGTAAATATGTTATTCGAAAATTTGGTAAGTGTTTCTCATATTAGCCTACACAATGTTTAAAATTAATCAAAACCAAATTGGCTATTTCCTCCTGTATTTACCAGATTTAAAAGCCATAAACCTATGAAGACCATAAAGGTTGAATTTTGTTTCTAAAATTGCTGGCGGATGTGTAAATATTTTATACAACAAATGTAAGTATCAAAATGTTTCTATTTCGTCTACTCTTCCCGTTGCAAAGCACGGGTACAATAGCTAGTACAATACTAATAACACATGCACAAGTTGTCAAGGTTTAAAACATGTAAATATCTATAGAGGACGTAGCCTGTTGATCTGCTTCAGTGGCACAAGGTCTAGGACACATGCCAGTGGGGCGGAACCCTAGGGTGCCCGGGGGTGTAGGCACTGGGCAGGTGGGGAGTCAGCTGCACGTGCCTCACCTGGTGCACACACGCACACTCACGCACACACACAGCACATCCCTTGGGCGCATCTGGAGATGCAGATGTTAGCCGAAAAGGTTTCTTCAATCTTTACACTCCCAATCTCTAG